TTCTTTAATTTTATGTTAACACAGGTAGAGCTATAACTCATTCCATACACACCCACTTAACTCTCAGGAAGTTTGATTCAGATGCAACAGAATGCTGCTAGGAAATCTTGGCTCCTTGAAAATGACCCTCATGGATTTCAGTCCATTCTTTTCTTCTTAGGATTCACTTCATTTTCTTTTTCACTCAATCAAACATACTTTATATCCTAATTTTCCAAGATTGAGAACGACTGATTGTACATTTGCTGTGGTAGAAGACAACACTGCTGATTGTTGCAAGGGCTGAAATCACACTATTTTAGTTACTGTAGTAATTACTGTCTGTTACAAGCTATATGAAGCACTTATGTTTGTTACACATAAACTGGGAAAAAATATGTAGGAAATGTAATACATCTCTTCTGATGCTGTGTTTATTCTGGTGAATATGAATGTTTGTATTTTATATTTGCAAACTTGAGCTGAAATAAATTATAATAAGATGTTAATACCCTTCATTTTTTAGTGTGTGTTATTTACATGATTGCATGATCTTTTAATATATTAGTACATATTTGCACTAAACCTGTTTTTGTCAGAATGGAAATGTCTCTTTAACCAGTAAAACGTATCAGTAACATTAAAACACTTTACCAAGAAGAAAAACACGAGTCAGTAGTAAAATAGAAACATGTATATTACAGCCTCCTGGTGAAAAAACAGATACACAAACTTTAACATTCAAAATGTGACCACTGACAGTTGCAGTAGTAAAGTAAACCGACAGCAGTCATGTCTGTATGACAGACACTATATGGATCAATGTTTCACCCACAGATGGAATAATATTCCTGTTATTAATGCAACGTGTTAAACCACTGATGATGCTTATCTTCAACACACCTGCTTATTTTATTTCAAACTTAACATGTTACCTTTCAAAATAATGTTGGTTTGAAATAGACATTAGAAGTTTAAAGCAACACAATGTACCTGTTACTTAGCAACAGCACCCTCCGAGTGATGAAAGGTTTTTTTCCACGTAGAGAAAAAACAAAGTCTATCAATGTGTTGAGAGGAGCTCTGACCTAACTGAACACTGGATATTACCCATGATGCTCGTCTCCCTGAACCAAACTCTGTTCATAATTCTTCATAATTCAAAAGTTTCCTGCAGAAAATTGGAGGTAAACGCTGGTTTTTAATAACTTCTAGGTCTTTTTAACTGATCTGCTCTGTCAGTTCTTCTCACAGGAGATCGTACCCACTCACCAAAGTTACACAGGACAGACGCTCAGGGTGAGGAGTGGGAATCAAAGAGGAAACGTTCTCCTTATTCACAGTCATTGAACCGTCAAACACATTTTATTAAGCTGCTGCTTTAAGGTAAAAAGTTTCATAGTGTTGCTTTGATTTTAAGTAACAGTTTTTGCAGTATCATGAAAACGAATGACTGAAATACTGAACGTACACAAAGGTTACAGAATGTCACGCCCACCTCCTCTAACATGTAATACTGTGTTCTTTAATGAGGGAAATAAAAGGGAAACTTAAATCAAACTGAAAATAGGCTATCTTCTATTTAACAAACAAGAAGATTAAATAGAAGATAGTTTTAACAGTACTTAAAAATGGCTCCAGGTGGCAGCTTCTGTATTCTGAGGACAGGAAACTGAAGCTTCAGCTCACAAATCAGTTATACAAGTCGTACAAAGTACCCTGACCAGTTGCCTTGGTGATGACATTATGGAGTGTATGTCACCTTTAAGTCTGATGAGCGATCTGAGAGATTTTCTGCAGCATCTCTTCTGACTGCAGCTGCTCAAGAGTCAACAGAGACAGACCCAGCTGGTCCTCCTGGAGACAGAGACAGAGGGTCGTGAGACACTTCGAGGTAATTATCCTATTTTCTGCACAGCTCCAGGTGAATTGAATCAAAACAGACGAAAGTGAGAAGCTACTACATGCTGAAAAAATTAATTTACAAGAGAAGTGAGAATTCAAGTAGGAACAAAAAATTACTTAGTGTGATATGAGTAAAAAAAAGGAAAGAAATAAGTAGAAGCACAGTTTTTACTTCATTGTTGTGGCAGGTGTGAATCATACCTGTCTGAAAGGCTGAGCCATCTGACGTAGAAAGTGCTTTGAGAGCTGGACGGCCTCGTCCACGGTGAGGTTCAGACTGCCGTCGTTAATGTGCTCCTGAATCCAGCGAGGAAGTTTCCCACGTTTGTCTGCTCGGGCATAACGCTGTGGAGGCAGAGGGGATTACTTTAGCTTCAATCATCCCATATTGATCCAGAGGATAAAAATCCAGACTGAGAAGAAAGATCACGCACTTTGTCAGCGAAAATCATGAGTCCGTAGTCGGTCTTGCCTCTGATGGCTCTGCCCACACATTGAGCTGCGTGACGCATGGCATCAAACGTTAGGAAGTCGTTCTCTCTGATCTGAAACTGATCACGAAGGTACTCCAGACGAGCCTGAAACACCAGTTCAGGTCAGGAAGAGATATTCTTTAACTATGCACAGAGCGATGATGGTGAAACCACAGTCAGACTGAAGTGGAGGATGAAATCTATAACGGCACTGACAAGATTCAACTTTGGGTAAAGTTAATAAACTAAAGATTGATCCTGATATCAAACAACATCAAGAGAAGGTAGAATCAAATCAACATTACTATCAATCATTTCTATATTTTGTTACTTAATCATTGATTTATGACTTTGATCAAAACTGAGAAACTGGTGAATATGATGTGATGACACAGTGAATGTTCTGACCTTTAGGATGCGGCTCTGTGTGTAAACATAAGGAACTCCAAACATGATGACTGCCCGACCAAAATGGTGAACTGAAGAAAAAACAGCAAGATATTATATTTTTAAATGCTCTCAAATTACAGTAAAAAGCTTTGTATTCATAATCTGTAAAACCATGAAGTCGTAGCTCTGCCTGCATTGATTCCAGTCAATGATTTCCTTTTCTCTACACAATCCACCAGTCGTCTCAGTAACCTGCAGCATCCTTACCAAAATCGATTCCCTCAGACACTTTTCCTCTGGCCACAGACAGGAGGATGGCTCCTCTGCCGTTCTCACACGCCTGAAGAGCAGAAACAGATAAAGGTCAGAGGTCAAAAGACTCATCAGCAAAACCAGGAGATCAAATATTACCATCAGTCTGCGATTACTCTTTTAATGCACAGGTGACGCTAAATGGAACAATCGCAGGCCTTTAGCAACATGATCTTGGCAGCTATAGCACAAATATTTCAGACTTAATAATAATCACAATAATTAATATACAATGAGATGCCAGGTTTCTGTCTGACCTCCTGGTATTTCTCCAGGGCCATGCTCGTCTCTGCAGCATCCTGAGTCTCAATGAAGATGAGTTTGTTTCTCTGGATGTTTTCAAGGATTCCCTGCAAATAAAAATGTAAAAAACACACATGAGAAAAAACACCATCAAACTCTTTTTAAATATAAAATGATTGTCTTCATAAGCGAGGAGACAGAATAAGATCCATGTTTAAAAGAGCAGGGAGAGAGCTCAGTCACTGACCTGTTCATACCAAGATGCCACTATATTCTCCATATATATATAGCTCGTGAAAAACGCCACAATGCCGTCAGGAACAATGGCCGACATTTCAAGAAGTAGGTTGCCATAGTTACGAATCACAGCTGGAAACACAAAATGATGCTGTTATATTTGTATTAGGGATAAAGCTTTTTGTTTTTCACAGCGTTTTGAGATATATTCTGAAGAAATGATCAGTATTTAATTCAAAGCTGTATTTAAATGTATTTCTTTTTCTTTTTTTTTATAATAAAGCTGGAAATGTTTCTACAAACCAAAGTCTTCTCTGGTCTCAAACTTTGAGCTCAGGGCCACCTGGTCATTTCCTCTTCCAACAATCTGATCAAAGAGGACAGAAGAAGAAAAAGAAGGTTGAGAAGACTCAAAGCATCAATAAAGGTTCAAATGTGGAAATGATTTGATTCAAATGGTTTCAACTTCTGTCCTTGATCAGTTTGTGTGTGTGTTACACACCAGGGGACAGAGGCAGGTCCGTGCTAGTGTCATGGTGAAGGACGCCATAGTAACAGGGCGGAAGTCCAGGATTCGGGGATAGATGTCCAGTGGAGAGAGAGTCTGAGGTCAAACAGAAGGAAGACACAATCCATGATTCACTTACTAGAGAACATCAACAGTCTTGTTTTTGTATGACAGACTCCGTAACTGCAAGTGAAACAGAAAATCCTATAATCACAATATTGACTTGTGGAAAAGAGACTGATTTAATATTCAGGCCATTGATGTGAATTCTAATGTTGATGATAACTTACTACATTAAAAACTGTACGGGAGTGAAATGACTACATAACTTCAGAAGAGAGGACGAAGAAACGGAGCAGGTGTGTTTAAAAGCATTCAAACAAGAAGAGAAAAGACAGAGACAGAAGAATCAAACTTACCCCTGAGGTGATGACGACTGACTGAAACCTTTGAAAAACTGGTTTGATGGCTATCGATGGATCCATGCAGCTGAGAGAGCAAATCAAAAATATAAGATTTTCTGTTGAGTCACTATCTATCACCACATTAGGTAACAAAATGGTGATTGATTATTTGGCCCACCATTGAATGTATTGCAATATTTATATATTTTAAGTACCATGTCAGTGGAGACAATGCTGTACAAAGTTAACACTGATGCAAACTGATCATTTCCTACTGTTGAAGCTTCACAATAAAGTTGTCTTTTATTATCAGTTAGTCAAGAAATGTGTGTCATCAAATCACCAAGGACTAAAATCTATATAAACTTTTTTAAGTGAGTTCGACAATGAAGATGAACTTCAAAGAGAAATGAATTATTGGTCATTTGCAGCTCTACCTCACCTGAAGTGCAGAACAGGGTTTGCAATGGTCGGAGTTCTGTCCTCAAAGGGCTCAATGATGATGGTAAAACCTTCAGATACAGAGAGAACGAATAATTAATGACGTTTAAAACAAGATGCAGCTGAGAGGATTTTAAAACAGACGCAACAAAGTTTTACTTTAACTTTAAGTGTCTGATTGGAGAACAAATGTGTTTTCGTACCTTGGCTGTAGGTGCTGACCAGGGTAGCAAAGTTAGAGATGAGAGTGACAGCTGAGAAGTCTGCAATGTCTGCAATCTCCAGAGTTCGTAATAATGATTGCAACCGCTCTGCACAAAACCTGGAGAGACACAGAGGGTGACAGGTTAAAGGTGAAGGAGAGAGGAGCGTTTGAAAGGTGAAAGGTGTGAGGGGGGTCTGTCTTCTTAAAGCAGAGAGGTGGGTTCATGAAAAATGACTTTCATTTTCAACGTGTTGTTGAAGCCGACGCTGACCTAAGAGGTTTACGGTCGATGCAGACTTTGTCAAAGATGTCTTTGAGGAACTGTGGGGCGCTCTCCTGTACGACATGCTGGACCCTCAGACGAGACTTCAGGTACTCCAGGAAGCGCCTCAAAAAACCAACAAAGTGCTCAGCTGTGCGAATGGTTCCAGGAATTGCCTCTGAGAAAACAGAACAACTTTGTTATTGTATGAACTTTTATTTTGAAATCAGTGAAATTAAAGAAAATATGAACCTTTGAGAATTTCATCTGGTAACACTGGATTAGCGAGGTAGACGTCTGTTTCCCGGGCAACATTGGCTTCCTTCAGCCCCTCCACCAGCCGCCTGTACTCCTCCCTGAGCTTGGCCGTGTCCGTCTCCTTGATCCTATCAGAAACAGGAGCAGAGTTGGAGCACCGTGTCCTCAGATGTGGGACAGAGCTGCAGACAACACAGGACCTGAAGGGTTCAGAGAGTCAGTCGTCTTTCGGCCGCCCTCTGCCAGACTCTTACTTTTGTATGGTGTTCTGGAGAGTGTCCACGTTGTTCTGGCAGCGGTCAAGCATTCGTCTGGTGATGTTCACACTCATGGAGTCGATACATACGTTGTCTGAAGAGCGAGGGAAAGACGAGGTGGAATTAAAAGACGAAGAGAACATTTTTATATTCTTCCATAAATACATTTACAATAATTAAACAATTCTGATAAACGATCAGTGTTTTTGTGATAATGATACGATTATAGATTAATTACATTACACAAATTCTTCAGTCCCTCACCAATATTATGAGCCTCATCAAACACCACCACAGATTTCTTGGAGAGTTCTTTGGACACCAGGTCAGCGATCTTAGGGTCCAGCAGATAGTGGTAGCTGTACACTACAATGTTGGCGTGCAGGATCTGAAGACGAGAAATGTTTTTAATAACAGCAAGAAAACTTAACTTGTGCCAATTATTTTTTCTATCAACTCTAATAAATACAATGCATTAAAAAAATGCAGTTATGTGTAGAGAAACATAAATCCATCCAGTAATTACTTTGACTGAATAATATAAAAGTATTTTTTCACACCAGGCTGAAAGCACCATGTTGGTAAAAATGTGTAGTGCAACGTACTGAGTAGCGCGCCAGATAATACGGACACCAGCCTTTCCTCCTGCCAAACTCCTTCAGGTCGTCCAGGTTGTAGACGCCAGCTGGAAGAGGCACCTGTCTGCCGACCGCATCAAACTCCTGCAGAAACAAACCACGGCTTGGACGAGCTTCAAAAAACAACAGCGGCAAACGTCACTTCTTAATCTCATGTTAGTCGCTCAGTTGGACCTGGTGAGGTGTCAGAAATCTGTGGTCCATTTATAAACATACATTGTCTCGGATGTTGTATAACGTTCATGCAGCACAAAGAACCTGGGATGATGTCATGAGTTCATTCAGAGGACAATCAGAAGCAGATATGAACTCTAGTCTGGAGCATAGACTGTTTTTAAAGAGGTCTGGAGTCACTAACAATATGTAACATTGTTCACTTTTAACAGGACGAAGTGTCAGCGATGCTTTGAGATGAGGTCCTGCTCATGTTCAGACATTTCACAGAAGTTAAGTCATCAGGTTTTAATCAAACTAATAAAGAAACAAATCTATTAGATGATCAGGAGAAAGTAATTTACACCCATTATAACATCTGTTGTAAAAACTACTGATCTAAAATGTTGATAATGTTTGTTTTTTATCATTTTTATTTTATTAAACTAAACATCTAAATAAATCACCTTTGGTTCAGGGAAACTTTACAGACATAAACATAAAATAATCAGCAGATTTACTGATAATGAAAAGAATAATTTTCACTTATCCAATAATTTAACGACCCCTCACCAGATCTGTCTTAAATATACAGTCCACATCAAGTTGTTGCAATTCTTCTGATGAAAAAAACCAGCTGCTCTGACTTCATGTGACTTTTACCTCATAGAATCGACAGGCGGGCAGGCCGGGGTCGCTGTGACGCTGAGCACGAATGTACGATGCCGTCAGACTGTGGCACTTCCCATCAACCTCCTTACCGAAGCGCAGAGAGCTCACCTGGATGAAAGCAGAGGATCCTGGTCACAGTGAAGGAGACAGCCCACTTCTCTAAATCTAGAAAGACGATTCAAACATGTGAGTGTTCGTACCTCAGGGTGGATGCAGAGGTTTTTCCTGGAGGAAAGAGCCAGAGCCAGGAAGTTGTTGCTTTCTCCAGTTTCTTTAGAATAAAACTCCATCAGTTTCCTCAGCTCCTCCACCACCTGATCAGAGCGATGATCAAATATATGAGTTGTGATGATTTGTGAAGCATCATCTTTCTACTATTCAACTATTAGACACTTTTCTCACGTGTTTTAATTTATGAGTTTAACTTAAATGTCTGAGCAATGAAACAGTTGGACAACAGAAATGAATGAATCATTCGGAGCTGCCTCACCTTCTCGATCTCTGGGACTGTTCTGGAGCAGTAAATGAGTTTGGTCACTTCCAAAGGAAAGGCCTGAGGGAGAGAACAGGATGTATTACTGTGTCTGTCTCTGTTGTCTGCAGCACAGGAGGCCTGAGAGACAGAGAGTAAACTCACTCTTTGGTAGGCAACGATGAGTGACAGCAGAGAGATTGTCTTCCCTGTTCCTGACGGCATCTCCAAGACTCCATGACCCTGAAGAAGATCAGGTGACAACACTGTTAACACTGTGGCTGTGGCTCACACTGATGCAAACAGAAAACAAGAACAGATTCATTTAAACTCTCGATTTGTGTTTCATCAGTCACGTAAGCTGCTGTCAGAAACAAACTCCAGAAAATTGGCTCTGGACATTTTGTAGAGTTTGTCTTCTATATTTACAACTCATTTTTTCATGTTTTGAAAAAGTCATCAACACGCCCATTCTACTGCCGCACCCTTACAGGAGCTGACTCAGACTGTTTCCAGACATTTCACGAGGGAACTTTCAGGAGAAGTTCTGGAAGTATCAAGAGCAACTAAACTGGACATTTGTGTTCTCACACACCGTGCATGTCTGAAAGCAGCTTCAGAGACAAATTGGGGACAAAATAATCTGTCTTCAATCATTTTTACTAGTAATTTTCCTCTTTTTGATTCCCAGGAGTAACACAATACAACATTCAGCAGAAACACAAGAGGGGACTTTGTTCTAAAGACTGTAACTTAGAAGATTGAATTGATTTGAGCATCGAGAAACAAGAGGAACGACAGAGCCCTGATCAACTTCCAACAAACACAAGAACAAGTGAGCACGGTTTAACTCAGAGGAAGTCGAAAACAAACAATACTAACATGCTGAATCACAAATAAAGTCTGAAGATCAGGTTGTAACGACAAGATCAACTATTCACCTACAACACATTCTGATCTACATCATCTGAGTCTTCGTCCTGGAGAATCAAGTAAAGAAACATCACTGACCTTAGCGTCCAGAGTCCTCTTCAGCTCCAGCATGTAGGAGTACTGCTCCGGATAAATGTAGTCATATGGAAAATACACCAGCAGACCCTCGATGTTGAGCCTGAAATAATACAAGAGAAAAGAAACATCACGAAGCTTTAACTTAAAACTTTGAAATGCCTTTAACGTACAACAGCATCATATTCAATCACTGGTTTGCAGCCAAAGTTTGTCAGATATCTTCTGATGATTCAGACTCAAGTTAACCAACAAGTGCATGAACTTATTGAGACTTATTACAGATTTATTACAGATTTATTACAGAACTCCTTCTCATGAGAAACGGTGGATACATGAGGGATTCACTCATTCAAACAAATGAACTATAACTGTTGGAGATCAGAAACACTCACTTCATGTTGGTGCAGCTTCTTCTTCTTCCTCTTCTTCTTCTTCTTCTTCCACTGACGTTAATTCAACAACTTCAGAATAAATAACAAAAAGAAAACACGATGAAAACTGGAGACACAGGAAGTGTTTCCTTTTATTTCTTCTTCTTCTTCTCTTTACTCTTCTTCTTCTTCTTCTAAGACTTATGGCAATTAAACACTCCAAGAGGATTTACCGCCCCCCACAGGCCGAATAATACTTTATTTATCACTCAGTACTCACTGCTAGTACTACAGTTACTTCCGCTACAACCAGACAACAACAATAATAATAATAATGATGAATAACAGTGAATCTTTTTATTATTATCTCCACATTAGTTATGTTCATAATTTCTAAAGAGGTTTAGGTGTTATTCTGAAAGGGTTAACCGGAAGCGCCAGCGTATTGTGTCTTCAACATTTTTTTTAACTTAGTCAGTTTTTTACACTTCCGGGTCGAGTTGAGCTTGTCTCATGACTGTTTACCGCCACCCAGTGGCCGTGAGGTAGAATTACATCACAGTGTATTAGTAAAGATTACGTTAATGCAGATAAAACAGTTTATTAAACATCCGGTAAATTGTTTTAAAAAGGATTTACCGGAAGTGCTAACGAATCATATATCAACGCTCTTTACTAATTCAGTATTGTACAGATCAGGACTGTTTACTGCCACCCAGTGGTTGTTGTATGAAACTACACGACTGTTGTAGTAAAGATCGCGTTAATGCAGACAACACAGTTTTTTTTCAACATTCAGTAAATTATTTTGAAAGGATTAACCGGAAAAGCTTATGTATGTGTTATACCCACATCGACGCTCTTTACTAATTCAGTATTTTTACAGTTCAGCGTTAAGAACATTTGACCTTTTATACTTTACCGCCATCCAGTGGCCATACCGGGATATTACATCATTGTGTTTTTGTAAAGATTACGTAAATGCAGACAATACAGGTGGTTCAACATCCGGTAAATTATTTTTGAAAGAGGAAACAGGTAGTGGAAGCACCTGCATTAACGATAACTTTATCAATTACACAACCTGCAGTTCTACTTTGTGACCGCTAGAGGGAAACAAAGAAAACGCGGGTCGATCATGATCGAATTTCAAGAGTAAAAGTAGAGTTAATGCAGCCAATACAGTCTAACTCAACTTCCGGTTGGTCCTTTCACAATAAGATGGTAAGAAGCGAAGCGGTTGTTCTTCAGTTCGGTTAAAATCTGCTTTTGGAACCGAACAGAAACTGAATCACGTGAGGAAAATGTTTGAAACTTTCTACTGGTCACATTCAGCAGTTTTCTACTGGACATTCATACTGAACATATCCGCTGACGGACACTAGTTAAGTCCAACTCAGTTTATGTTTAGTCAAACCAACAAACACTGGTTTAAAGTAACGACTCATTCATCTCACTGAAGTGTTCAGATCAGGTTGAGGAGCTTGAGGTGACTGTAAATCTAGTTTTTCATATTTTAGCTTCAACACTTCAGCCCAGTGTAGAGATGAGGTTTGGTTTCTGGGACTCGGAGCATCATGGGACGACGGACGTGTTCTGTGTTTCTGTGGCCTCAGTTTTGCCCACGGGCCCCCAGAGGAGAAATCCAGCACTGAACTGGAACGGCAATTGCTTCAATCTGCTGGTGCATGGGAAAGTGTTTCCTCAACTACAACTACGTGTGTGTGTGTGTGAAGAACTGTTCATGTATCCAAAGCGTTTCTTTTATAGGAACCTTTTATTCATACATGTACAGTGACATATACATACATCATAAATGACATTTGAATATTAGGCTACTGTGATAATGCTGCAGACAGCGACTGTGACACTGAGCCGCAACATGGACGAGTGACGTGTGTTTAAAAAGGACCAGTATCTCAACATGATCTACGAAGCAGCACTTTTTATTACACTTTAACTTTTTTATTAGTTTAACTACGCAAACAAACTTCCTCAGTTTTCCTCTGATCAGAAGAAAGTAGTCGGCTGCTGACACGTCTGATCTCAGACCAGTTCACTTAAATCTTCATCTGTCTTTATAGAGAAACAGTGAAGAAATTTATATTTGGTCCTAAATTTAACACTTGACGCAGCAAATGAGTCAGGACAGAAAACGACTTATGAGCTGCAGTTTATCCACAGACGAGTGTCCGGCTGCTCCTGAATATAATTTCTCCCATTTTCCCAGAGTCAGTTTATCATATTTATTTCTATACATCAGTTAACAAGCAGAAAAACTCATCAACAGACGATATAAAGTGAATAGTTGCTGATATTTTGTCCAGAGAAGAGGAATGTGTCCAAAGCTCGTGATAACAAGGCGACTGTGGTTCTGCTCCGTGAACGTTTTTAAGTCTGAGGGTCGATAACGGCTCCTGAGGACCAGCCTGTTGTCATGTCGAGCAGAAACGTACCAGCACTTAACGATAATGTCCACAGGCCTCCTCCAGTCTTTCATTACCTTTGACCTGTCAATCTTCTTGAAGAAGACATTTTCTCCACCCTACATTTTCCATTCCTCCGTCCTCCACCTCCTTTAGTCTCTACACAAAGATTTCAGGATATATTAGACCATAAAAAAATATCTGTATATGACATTAATGTTTGTTTCACAGCTCACAGCGGTTGTCTGTGGTCTTGTATCTGTCCATGATGCTCAGCACGTCCTCCAGGATGGACGGACCCAGGTCCAGGTTTAAACCCACCATAGAGTCAGAGTGGGACACACCGGGCGAGTCCGTTAGAGCGGCCGGATGAAAGGCAGCACACGGAGACTCGCTGCGTTCGCTCCTCAGATCCTCGTTGCTCAGGCCGGCGTCAGAATCCAGACTGAGGCCCCGGCGAGCGTCCAGCGGCCCACAAGTTTCCGACATGGAGTCCTCAGAGGAGACCTCTGAAAAGGAGCCAGAGGAGGGGACGAGCCTGCGGATGGCGGGGGACAGGGAGATGTCACGGCAGGGCTCTGATGCCAAACGTCCCACCACGCCGTTCTCACAGAGCGACAGAGTCGGGTGCTGCTGGACGTGGTTCTCTGTGTGATCGAAGCCGTTGTTCTGTCTGTGGCTCGTCTCTGTCGACTGCTGATTGTGCTGGATGTGTTGTTGCTGCGGGGGCAGGGAGGGAGGGGAGGGGTCGTCCAGGTGGAGGCGTGGGGGTTTGGGTGGCGCCTGTTCGTGGGCGATGAACACGGGCATGGAGATGGTGGTCTTCAGCAGGCCGGTGCAGGTGTGCTGATAATGGAAACCGTTGTAGGAGTAGTTGTGTGAGTCGTGTTTGGCTGCAAAGTCTTCGTCCAGGCGTCTCTCCACGCTGTGCGAGCGTGCGTGACCGTTTTGTGTCCGGCTCAGAGACGGCAGCATGTCCATCTTCCCCTGGAGGAAACCCACATCTCCAAACATGTCGCCTTCTCCTTCAGGACCCACGTGAGCACTGTGACGTACGTCACCCAGCGGGGGGCTGATCATGTCCCCTGAGAGGACGTCACGCAGCTTCAGCTTCTTTCCTTTCTTGGGAGTCGTAGTTTTTAGGTAAATTGGCGTCTTTGCTGGCATTTTGTTTCTGATAAGTTGACGTGAGTTGAATCAGTTTCTCCAGAGAAACGTGTGTGTTCTCAGGGTCGGTGGGTCGGTGGGTCGGACACTGGGCAGGTTTGAAGGACTCCGTTTCTCAGGGTGATTAAAACCAAACCACTGTCAACAGCTCGACTTGAAGTTCTCTTGGCTCCTTGTGCTGAGAGATCCAGTCTGTGTTGCTCCTCCCAGTGAGTACACAAGTATTTAGGTCGGTCAGTGTAGCGATAGCAACCCCAGGGGGTGTGCCTCACGCTGCCATGTGACTCGGGGGAGAAGAGGAAGGCCTTGACCTCAGATCAGCTCCCTCTGTCTTTTTCTCACACACAGAAATGCCATGTCCGATCCAAGCCTCTTCTCCTCTTCTTCAAAACATCAAACTCTCCTGTTTGTCTGTCGTCAGACAACAGGGATGAAGGGATGAAGGGATGAAGGGATGAAGAGTGTGATCTCCGTCTGCTGTCGGGTCAGTCCTCTTCAGGAATGTGACATCAAAACACTGGAGATCTGTGAGGGAGAAAAACAAGAGTCAGAAAGAGGCTAAAGAGATGAAGAGAGAGAGGGAGGAGAAGCGAGGGGAGAAAGATGGGGCAAAGGGGAAGGGAGAAGGCAGGGGGAGAGAGGACTGACAGCGGGGGAGATTTACAGGTTTCTTTTCAGTGAGCTTCAGGACAAATGATGGAAAACACTCCAAGAATCCTGAGTGTTTGCTGGAGGGGTCTGTCCGTCCCAAACTGGGTGGAACTCAGACCAGAGGAGTGTTTACGCTCGGAGTCGGTGAATCAGTCCTGAAACATCGGACACACATTCCCAAAGAGCCTCAGCGTCGTCAGCGGAGACACAAATCACTGCATGGGGAAATTGTTGGGTTTTTAAAAGCTTTCTGGGCCTCACGACTCTGCGTCCTCGTGTCGCGGCCTGTTATCACCGACAAAATCTCAAAGTGTCTTTCCCGACTCAAACACTGTGAATCATGGGATGACACGCGGGTCACGCCTGAGGCCTCCGTGATCCATCACCATCACAAATGTCACTTTGGTATTTACCTGCTTAACGCTCAGACTCTGAGGTTGATAGAAGCTGATGAGGTAAAGTTGAGTTTATGAATTTATTATTAGCTCCACCCCCCATACCGCTACTGCACCGACTCTAAATGACGTCATCTGTGCAAAATGTCTTCGTTCGTGTCGGAGACATTTTGGCTCAGTTTCTGGACGTGGTAGAGGAAGATCCATCTTTATTTACTGTCAGGAAAAACTAAAATACTGTGTATTGATGTTTATCTTATTGTTCACTGAGGACTGACAGGTTTATAAAACTTTACCTTTTTCATTCTCGTGCAGTCTCAGTTCAGTTTCTGTGGTTCTGAACGTTTGTCCAGTGTTCGATCTTTGACATGTCTGACACGTTTACATTTCAGTGAAGTGTTTGAGTCAGTTCAGTTTATGTGACAGTTTGGAAAAGATTTCACGGCTTCATTTTTACTTCACTATTTAAACAATTTCTTCTGAAGAAATAATAATAAAATTAGCAGAAAGAGTTTCCAGCCAAAAAGATTTTGTCTCTGTCACGCGATCACCACAAAGGCATCTCAAAGAGTCCTGTGAACGTTCACACACAGTTCACACACACAAACACACACAAACACAGGAGCTGGAGAAAAGAGAAGGACTTGTTTATTTTTGTTTCTGAGGCTAAAGCACAAGATTTGTTGCTTCAGGTCAAATGAGAACAAAACAAGATTTTGTTTTTGAAAGTGATCACAGTCTAAAATGTGAGTTTGATCATATTTTCTCTCTCCCTGTTGTTCAGCTCCGACTCTATAAAACTCTAAAAAAAACTAAACTCCTCTATCAATTTGTTCTGGGACCAGACTTTAAGGTTCTCCTCCTTAAAAACAAGGCTCTGATGGACCGAGCTCCATAGCTGAGTCTCTGGTGAACTATGTTCCCTCTAGAACACTGAGATCATAAATCAGAGGTTCACAACAACAGCCCAAAGAAAATCTGAGGTTTTGGTTTTAAGACAGATTAAATGTGTATTAGTCTAATTTACAAAGAGAAAAACAATTCTCATATTATCAAGTTAATAAACTATTTTAAATAAAAATTAAGAAGGGGAAGTCAAATGTTGATATTACTGGTGTTATAATGTTAAATATAGACAGACACAGATTTACATTAAAGCTTTTGCTAAAACTCAGGAACTTTTAAGACAAACTGACGTGAACTGAACTCAGTTAAGTTCTCAGTGACTGTCGCTGCAGGATTTAACGGCTGCAGTGGAGCGAGTGAAGCTTCAGGTCAGTTGCTATTGTGAGACATTAACACTGTTCATGTGTTGTAATCAGCTCAGAGATGACACAGCTCGATCTCGAATGAAGGGAAAAAACATGAGGATGACTGTGGGTGATGAACTTTTAGTGGTTTGATCCCCAGCTTTTCCAGATACATGCCAGAGTGTCTTCTGCAAGATAGTGAAGTGCAGCATACAGAAGCACTGTATGAATGAGTGTGGGAGTGCTATATGAATACATTCCATTTATCATTGGAGTCATTGCTATTGATTCATACCATTTTTTATATCCCTGGACATGAGATGAGGGTTTAATGTTATTTGGATAAAAGATAATTCTCTGTTAAATGGAGATAAAGTTTGAGTTTGGTTTAAAATCAAGAAATAAGGTTTAGATAAGGAATTAGTGTGGATCACTGAGGGTATTATTGTAGGTGAGAACTGGTTCTAAAGGGCTGAACCTCAGTCTAACTTTAAATCTCTCTTCATTATCCAAAGACCTCGATCATCCACTGATGGGAAAGAAAACAGATTCTCTCATTCTGACGGTAAAAACGTCTGGACCACAGGTTCATTAAAGATGAGATCTAAAACAGCTCAGTCTCATTTCAGCCACTGAGAGTCATAAAATGAGACATTAACTCATTTAGTTCTTCCAGAGAAAAACAATACAAACTCTATTTATGCAGCAAAGAAGTGGAACAAATGAATCAAGCAGCCGCTGTGCTAACAAACTATCACATCTAACGAAGGGAGGACCTGCACTGCTGAATCCATTAACACCCACAGGAAACCAAACAGACGATTAAATGAGACAAAATGTGACCACAACAACACACACACACACACACACACACACACACACACACACACACACACACACACANNNNCACACACACACACACACACACACACACATACACAGTTGAGTTTCAATGCTGATTTTTCCTCATCGATGAATTATTGACTCAGAGGATTTAAAGTTGGAGATGTGGCCGACCTGTCTTTAAAGGAATAGTTCGTCCAAATAAGGAAAACTGAGTCATAAATCTGAGTCTCTGTCGATCAACCTTACAAACTATATGATCACTTAATTATTTTTCAATGACAAGACTTGACTAATATTCTGGTTTACATATGATCAAAAGTTCAAATGGTTCCTTAACAACGATAAGTTAAGTTCTTTTAGAAGAGAAGATGAGGATTGATTTTAACAGTTCTAACTTTAGTTATAACATTAACCAAACTCTCCTGTTTTCACTCTAATGAGCCACTGAGCAGACGTGTGCATGATTTCTTTGGAGCATCAGTAAAATGTAATCTGTGACGGTTGAACTGGTGCAAGAGTGCGACAAACTTCAGCTGTGTGTTTGTGTCCTGACTTTATATTTGTATGGTGCGACTCTGTTTCAACTTCTTTGGCCCAGTAAAGCATGATTAGACTTTTGTTGTGAAAAGTGTGACATAAATAAACTTACTTACACACTCACATTCAGGGCTTTATAACACAGTTCATATGAGCCAGATAACAAAAACTAGAATTACACAAATAGTTTCTAAAAGATTTTTCATTTTGATTCATTTTGAATTTTACATTTCTAGGTCAATACAAAAATAAGTTGATCAAAAGCTAGATTTCAAAACATTCATTCATTCTTGGAGACACAACTACTGTCCGACCATAAACTTCACTCTCAACACAGTCTAACCCATAACCTCACGCTAACCTGAGAATGTGTCCTCCTTTATGAAAGTGAGTGATTTTGGTCTCTCATCTCCGATCTAAACTCTCAAACAGAAGAGGAACAGACAGAAACAAGTCACTTCCCACACACACGAACAATCAAATCCCTCCTCACACAGTTGACGTAATAAAAAGGGAAACAGTGTCAGAGTCTCTCTTCTGTGCATCACCTTCCTGTAAGCTGGAATTTGGGACATTACAGATGATGCAATCAGCCACAGACCGAGGCTGCAGAGCGAACATCTGTTTCTGCTCTCAGGCTTCATTTACTGCAGAGGACAGAGAAGCAGTCACCCACCAGCCATGACTGTCATCTTCTACAGGACCAACCAGCCCGAGCGAGCACGCCTGAACGACGAGGGCTGCTTTCCTTCCATTGTTATCATCCGCACAGTTGCGTCATGAGTAATTGTGCACAGAGGACGAACAAGTCATTTGTTTGTCTGTTAATCCGCTTGTTTGAATCATAAATGTAAAGTTTGTCCTGCAGATGATTTGAGTGATTTTCTCACTGTGAGGATTCATAACACAACTCACCTACAACTCTGTGTCTGCTGAAGTTAATGATGACCCGTCAAGTGTATTCACTTCATTTCTGTCCAATATTAGCTCAGTTTTAACACTAGAAACGACCAGTACACATAGAAACAGGCAGTGATGCATCTCTAACAGGGAGTGGAAATAAATAAATAAATCAAGTGATCAACTCTAAAACAAAAACTGATTCTGACCACAACTGATGCAGGAAGATCAGAAGATCAGAGAGTTGAAGAGTGAATTAAAGTACAGAGGTTAACTCCCTCTCTCTCTCTCTCTCTCTCTCTCTGTGTGTTGTGTAACTGCAGCTCTCAGATCAGCTCTGTCCTCCTGGACACTGAGGAGCAAACCAAACCTCTCTCCTCTGGACTGAACCAAAATATCATCATAATAAACCACAGTCAAAAGTACCGCACATTTAATTTGAGTCTTGGCTTTTCCAAAACACAATTACATCAACAATATCCACAAGTGTGCAGTTATAACTCGGAGCTCTTCTGAGGCAGCAGGACAGCAGCTGATCTGAGAGCTGTGACCTCCTGTCACAGGGAGCAGCTTATTCCAGGAGCAGAGCAGGTAACACGCACTACCGCCCCTCCGACTCACCGGAGGTGTTTTCAGAAGATGTCCACATATTTTCACAGTTTTCTCAAAAAGGCACAAATCACATCATCACAATCTGATCTGAGTTTCCCTGAAGAAAGTAAACTGAAATATTCTCAAACAGGAGCAGGAAGCAAAGTAAAACCCTTCATGTCACTTGAGGATAAAATGTGTTGATATTTAAATGTAATTCTTTTCTGTCCAGCTCAAACCAGAGGGAGTGTCACCTACAGTCACTGGTGTCACACAGTGAATCCCATGTTCTCATATCAACTGTCACTTTCTCCTCTGCTCGTTTCTCACATGATAGAAAACAACAGATCTATTGAACAGGTAGAAAGAAGCAAACACGAATAAAACGAGCGAACACATTTCAATCTGTGACATTTACCTGCAGAGCAAAGCGTCGCAGCTGAAGTCCTGGTGAGGAGGACAGAGCAGGTAAACCTCTTAGTGTCTGATCACCACTGACGGAGAAAGTACCGACACCAGCCTCCAACTCAGGGAGAGGACTCAAGTCTGCAGGGCTGAGCACGAGGCATTTCCAGAGAGGAATTTCAAAATAAGATGTTCAGCTCTGAACACGTGCTGTAACAGTGGATGAGTCTGGGTCCATCTGTAGAGAGAGTACATCTATAGAGACAAGAATAATTATATCATAGTAAATACAGAAACAATAAAAACATGGTATATGACTATTTTAACATTACATACATATAGTCATTATGAGTGGGCCTATCTCATCCTAGCAGGCAGGGTCCACCTGTAGAGTCCTCACATCTGTTGAGACAGAACAGTGATAAAATTATAATGAATAAAATAATCAAACTTTCATTTCCCCTGTTTCCCTACGTTTTATGCCATATGGAGCAATCTTTCAGTAAAATATGACTAATATATTAACATTTAACAAAATCACAAGAAAGAAAATTAGTTTTTTGTTTGTTTGGCATCAGCCACAGTTTAGGCATTCTTTTCAAAGTCAATTTTAAAAAGTGGATTACTGTCTACCAACACTGAAAAATAATACAATATTATTTAATGTATGTCATTATGTTTGTCAGCTACAAAGAACATGTGATTTATTTTGAAAGGAATAAAGGTTGGCTTCCTGTCACACTCATTTCACACAGCAGACCCCCTGATTGTCATAAACTAGTCTCCAGGACAACAGGACCTCTCAAAGGTTAACCTATGGTTTGGGTTCTATCGACTTGTAAAACATAATCAGATTTATTGTTTTTAAGATTATTGAATTGTTAAAAGTATAATGTGTTGTTCCAATACTGCAGGGCAAACTGTTAAGTCATGATTCCTGACCAACTGTCCACTTCATCCAGCCAATCAGAGAGCTGTCTTAGTGTGGATCTGTTGCTGTGACAGACGGTGAGGAGGTGATGAAGTGTCTGCGATTTGATTATCGGCAGACAGAAACCACCGGGTTTACTGGTTCACACACCAGTGACAGATTTAAAAACAGATAAACAGGAGCAGGCACAGATCTACGATCAAAATCAGGTGCGGGGGTGTATCTACTGAACCAAAGGGTCATATATCTGCCTACAGCTTCTGTTGCAGTATCTGGAACCTTGTTTTCGCCACAGAGTTATAAAGTCTCTACATTCTGAGGAATAATTAGACATTTAAATGGGCTCTCACATTTTTACCGCTGGCTCAGTGGAGACCTACTGGAGCGTAAGGTTTGGCCCCAGCAGGGTTGGCTCTGTGCATAATTACAGAGAGTAAATGAGGATTTAACAAATGGAGAATGCAGACGTTTGCTGTTCGTAGGTCAGGCTGCAGACACATCTTGTTTACAGCTCCTGCAGGATGCCTGCAAGGCAAATTAAACCCGTTCCCTCTCTGCTCGTCCACTGGTGTGTGATTTGTGCAAAGAAAGATGCATGGGCGTCTTTTCCGCTGAAGCAGCATCACTTAATAAAACTGCACACGAGCAGAAAGACCTCCAAACAACACTTAATGTTACTGTCAGGGTTTTGGGTTTGAGAGGGAAGATATTTTCTACCACAACTTCACAGAGAAGAGGAAACGTCACAAGAGTTGAAAGCTCTTCCAACTTTTCCTGTGTTTGTCTCTTTTTTCTCTAGACATTAAGTGCTTCTGGAATCTTGACCTCTCTTTGGGGTCTCTGGAGAAGATGAAAGTTTCCAGGAGAATCACGAACGCTGCAGGGAGAACACACACCTTTTATCTGTCTCCCTCACTGACTCACTCTCTGAGCGTTTGAAGCTGACTGGAATGTGTAAACTAGATAATCAGAGAATTACACCAAGTCTCTGAAAGATGTGTTACATCACACACACACAGTCAGATATGACATCACCTAAGTGAATCAAGATGTAATCAGGGCAGTATGGGGTGGGTCCACACGAGAATTCACAATCATATCTCTTTCTAACACACACACACACACACACACACACACACACACCATGGCAGGGCTCCATGCAGCCCCCCAGGTGTCGCCCCCATGCTAAGACCCCCAGAGAGTTTGGTGTTTCTCCAGCTCTTGGACGGAGCACGGGGGGTGGTTTGGACGTGTGTATTCTCTGTTACAGTTTAACCCTGTGCAATCATCGAGGACCAATGTGAGGTCTGCCAAAGCCATAGAAGCAGTTTGAAAGTGAAAAGAAGAGGTACATGCAAAGGTGGGAAGAAAAACTAGATACAAATTAGAAAAATATCTGTATTCAAGGAAAAATAAGAAGGGATAGAAATACAGGAAGAGGGGAAAAGATTATTCTTTGAAAATATGGCACAATACTGATGCTAGGAACTGACGCTGGCAGCCAATCCTTCCTCTCTCATTGTAAGGTTATTATGCAACAGGCTCGCTCCGCCAGGTGGAATTAATCCGTTCCCATGACACTTGCAGTCTCATAGATTTCACAATAAAAGAGTCGAGATCAGGAAAAGGTGGTTGAGTCACTTCCCTAAAAGTCACCTGCTGATGAAAACTTAGCTTCAAACTTAATGACTCTCCTGAATTGTCCCTGTACAGCAATTAATTAACAAAGTAAATGACAATATTGCAGGTAAATAGTCAAATATTAGTAAAATATTAGAAGATATCTTATATTGGCACGAGACATTCTAGATGTTGGTGCTTCGGTGATTACGTGTTATTTAGCTCACATTACATTGGCTTGCATTTAGTTTGAACTGTGGTCGATGGTTCCAGCAGAACTGAAGATTATGAAGATTTTCCTCTCTGTGCTGTTTCAGAATTTATTTTATCTTATTTTAGGAGCAGTTTCATTGTCATTGTCCGAATGTGTCATCATCTGGATTATTGCTCTGAAGCTCTTAAAATAAATCCTTAAATTGTTGTTTTAACAAATCATCTTATATGGTTTGACCTGAATAGTCCTAACACACATGGCCCAACATGGAGCCCGCAGTGGTTCCTGGTGAGCACGAGGTTATATTTCCACCTCCGAGCAGCAAAAGTCCGGATCAGTATACAACTGAGACACTGTGTGACCTCATCGCCAGGAATTCTGGGAATCTGTCAGTAAATGACCCTCCATGTGTTTCCATTTAGAGCTGTAGAGCCTCGGGCTGATCGACTGAAGGAAACGAGAGACGAAAAAGACCAAAGAGAAAATAAAGGAAGAAGGATGAGGAGAAAACAAGAACAAATCCAGGAAAGAAGAAGAGGAAAAGTACTTTAAACAAGCCTGTTGGTCATGTTTTCAGGTTGAGTTTGGCCACAGAGATTCACAAACAACAGCAGCAAGAGAGAGAGAGAAGGAAGAAACAAGAAAAGAGGCTCATAAAGGGATGACCTCAGAGAGAAGAAGTGGTTTCCAGCTGTTTTCCTACATCTGAGGAACATTGAAGCATCTCTCTGTTAACTTTAATCCAACAGTAATCCCTCTGTCGAACAGCTGAATTAAAACTGAACTTCTATATGAGATCTAACTGTGAAATTCAAATGTTTTTTTATAAGGCCCAATGGTTTGAATTGATGAAAATCTATTCAGCATTAGACGATGAATCCTACAACCTTTGGTGAGCCCCTGACTGTCCCTCTAGTGCCACCATCTGTGATTTTGAGTCAAACATCTGAACAGCTATTGACCATAGACTATAGCTGCAGTATGGGTTTTAAACCCCGCCTCCTCCATGTTAAGAGATGGGACATGGGCCAATCTAAAAAAGAAAAAGATAAGATGTCTTGGCAGGTGCGACTGAGTTGTGATTAGATATGTGTGTTATTGGAGGGACCTCGTTACCACGGCTCGACACAACGATTACTATGCTGAAATGATGTCATCATATCCAAGATATTTTGGCTTCATTTCTAGAATATGGGCGGAAGTTGAGACAAGGCTATCTTTATTTTAAGACCTTCATCAGTTTTTTTTCACTGTTGGTTTCCATTTGTGCCACTTCAACAGCAAAACACTTTTTCATTTGTTGATATGGATAAAATTAGCCACGAAAACCATCTCAGCTTTGAGTTTTGACCCTTGAGGGAAAGTTGCAGTGGCTTAACTGCTACTGGGCTTCATTTTAGAGAGAAAGTGTAAATGCAGAGCAACTCCATGTTTTTCCAGCAGCATTTTCCAGAGAGTGAACGGCACTGGAAAGCAAAACAATGAATGATGTAAGAGGGCCGAGGGCAAAATAACACAGGACATCGTAAATGTGTCAAAGTCAGTTCCAAATACGGAACAATTTACATAAACACTTCACGGAGGAACTGCAGAGTGCTATCACATACATGCATTCATATAAATTAATATGTGTTACACAAAGGTTATGCATACAACGTCTCTCTCTCACACACACTCACACAAACACACTCAGAAATGCACATCAACTTATTTAACCCGTTCTCTCTCTCTCCCTCCCTCCCTGATCCAGGGCTGATCCTCCCACCTCTCTGGCCTCCTTCCGTTCCCACAATCCTCCCCTTCACTCCTCTCCACTCCTATATCGTCTCCCTGCATTTCCCCCCTCTCCCCTTCCTCAAGGCTCAGGGGTCATCCGGAGGGTCCCTGCCCGCCTGGAACAAACACACCAAAATAGACAATGGCAGAGAAAGAGGGGAAGGGAAGCGACAGGATGGACGCCCTTCTCATCTGACTCTCAGAAAGAATTAGAAGAAATATATTTCTGAAAACATTGAACTTTTCCTTCAACACTTGTGTTTTAGGGATCAAGGTCCGTTTGATTCATGTTAACATTGGGGATGGGGGCTATAGGGACTGTAGTATGGTTTACAGTGCAAACATATGTGTTTACATGTGTGCGTGTGATTGACGTTCTAGAGCTGGGAACCTGAACGGTTGAACACTAAGACAAACAAACATCCAATGCCTCGTTGATTCTGGAAAGCTTCCAGTTGGAGGTGTATTTGTGTGCATATGTGTGTGGTGGTGCTTGTTTTACCAAGTTTGAGAGTCCAAAAACTGGGAGCAACAGCTTCGTAGGGACTCACAAGTTCATGTGTGGAAAAGAACA